TAGTGCAAGCAGCGAAAAAGGTAAGCCAGTAAAGTAAGTAAAGAGGGGGCATCATAAGTATGCTTCAAACGCTCATAAAATATCACATCGACCTTCTCTTCATTTGTGACATGGGCTCATATCAGCGGCATGTTGGAAAATTTCACTTTGAAGCAGATTATGGCTAGACGTTCGTTTTCTGGTGAATGCCAGTATTCGGCGACGGAGTCACTCTCTCACCACAAATCCAAAACTGAATTTGCACTCCATTCTTTATAATATAGAAGAAGGGGATTTGCTTTAATTTTTATGGCTGAATATGCAAGAATTCTTTTTATGAGTATATTATTTTCTGTTATTTTTTTAGGTTGTGAATTGTATAGTCTAATATTTTATTTAAAATTAACTTTTATTTCACTTGTTTTTATTTGAGCTCGAGGAACTTTACCTCGTGTTCGTTATGATAAATTAATGCATTTAGCATGAAAAAAGTACCTTACCCTTAAATTGTGATCCGTAAAACATTTAGGGCTTTCTCTCATCCGAGGCTTTAATTAATTTTCAATTGGAGTAAATTTTTTATGTGGCGATGTTTCCGTGTAAAGATGCGGTAATCCCCAAAAGTTTTGTTGGATAGTATCTATGGTTCCTGGGAAGGCTTGTACGAAAAAAGTTTTCAGGAAGTGGACCGTGGAGTGACCTTTGTATATTTGAAATTGGGTTTTTGGTTTGCTTGATTTTTTACGGGAATTGGATCGTTTGTTCTTTTTATATATGTATGTATATAATTATTGAACAATATGCCTAAATGGAGCACTTTTGTTTCCCTTGTTCGATTTGCTCAGGAAAGGTATGGCCAACATGTTGTCTTGATTGATTAGCATGGTTTGAATATAACTGGTATGCTACGGTAACAAGCAATTTAAATATAATATGTTCATCATAAGTGTGAATCAGCATAGATCCGAATGGAATGTCACCCACACATACAAATAAGATCAATTTTTATATATATAAGATACAAATTTTTCTCTCGTTTGTAAAGATTTACCTGTTACCGGCCGACTAAAATTTTTACTAAACAGCTCTGCCTGGCATTCCTCAATCAATATCAGCGGACAAGATCAATTCTTGCCTAAAATACTTAACACTGTATATATCGTGTAAGCCTGCTTCTGGTCAACGAATGATCTTTAAATTATATTGTTATCCATCGCCGTGTTTAGTGTGGCGATGTATTTTAGGTCACTGGCGCGCTTGGTGATATCTTTGTCGCTACCTGGCCTAACGAATTTGGACGTGATCAACTTAGTCGTAGTACGTACTCCTGGGTGTGATAATTCATGAACCATGGCATAACCTTACGATACTTTCTCGTCGCATATGAATTGGTTGGCACTGTTGGGAATTAGAAAAAACTTCAGAATAAGCGAATTTTTATGCATATCTGGATCTTTGGTGAATTACTTTCAACTGCTTATAGGGTTTCTGTTCTTTTCTAATAAGTCAGCCGTTATGTATTGCTTCTCAGGAATGTGAGACCTGGCGGTGTTGCTCAATGAATATCGAATCGATGCAAATATCGTTGATATATAGAAACTCGCAATCCATATCTCGTAAGTTTTCGTTGATAAGTTTTTTTAAATGTTTGCGCGGCATTGCATGTCCAAACCGTAAAAAAAACCAAAGGGAGTGGAGATGATTGTCTTAGCAACATCATTTTTGTAAATGGGCACCTGATGAAAAGCTAATTTGGAGGCCAGTTTTGGAGAATATTTATTTACCTCGTAAGGTGCTACTAAAAACGGTTAGGTACCGGGGTGGGTAACGGTTCCGTACTGCTAGAGCATTTAATGCCATGTAGTTGACACATGGTCTCCAAGTACCGTAACTGAGTGCAGTGGACTTGGCCAACTACTGCTTGAAAGACGATATACACCGCTTACTCTCATAGGGAGCTCCAACTCTTTCCGTGATACTTGTAGCTTCTCGGAAAGCAGACACCGAGGTCGTCCGAATACAGACTGGCCCGTTGTACGGTGCGAGATCAGTTCGAGTAAACATCGAATTTGGTATTTCTCAAAATTTTATCTCATTAAGCTATAGTTAATTAAACAATAAAATACGATTTATGTAGAAATATAGGGCCATACCATCAATTTTAGAAAATATGAAAAGGTAGCACTAAAAATTTCACTCGAATTTTCTCTTTTTCTTCTGCTTTTAAAAGCTATTCCTCAATAAGACTGTGTAAAAAATTAATCAAGCTAGCAGTTTTTTCACCATAGGCTTGACTTATAAAAACGCTATAAATTAGAAGAACTTTAAGCAAATAAATATATATTTGCATTTTTTACAGTTAACATTTTTTAATAATGATTGTTTACAATTGTATGGTTGTTACCATGTTTGTACATATATACGATGTATACATACATATATATATATATCTACTGCATGCTTAACAGAGCTCATTTGTTATTAAGAAAGTAATAAGATAGACTCCACAATGTGTAGTACGCATATCACCATACCTCTGTAAAATTGTGCATATGTACATTTATATACATATATGTATATACACGGTGTGTCCAAAAAATAACCGAACTTTATATTTAAGTCTTACAACATACAGCGCCATCTATTGAATATTTACAACATTAAAAAGATACATTCATCCTCTTTCAAATGCACCTGACATCATGTAACTCGGATGACAGATGTAAAAGTGACAGCCATTTCAATAAAACCAAAAGTGTGCTAATGGTTCCAAAATAAAATGGAACAAAGAGCAAATATAAAATTTTGTGTCAATCTTGAAAAAAAATTAATGAAATTATTATTTATTATGATTGTATGAGTCGTACGCAAGTTTATACGTGGTTTACACGATTTAAAAATGGTCGTGAGGATTTAAATGACGACCCTAGAGCAGGACGTCCAGAAACTAGTAATCGTGCTGAACTGGTGGAAAAAGTCCGTGAAATCATTGGTATCAATGCAAATTTTACTACGAGAATGTTGGCTGAGGAATTGAATACGAGTAAAAACACTATTTGGAGAATTTTAACCGAAGACTTGGGGAAAAGAAAGGTCTGTGCGCGATTTGTTCCACATGAATTAAATGACGACCAAAAAATCGTTCGAATTTTTAATGAAAAAAGGGATTTCTCTCATCGACCATCCTCCGTATTCGCCTGATCTATCACCATGTGACTATTTTTTATTTCCAAAACTGAAAACCAAGATGAAGGGAGCATTTTATGATGATATCCCAGCCATTCAAGCAGCCGTAACCGAGGTACTGAAGAACATTTCTATAAATGACATAAAAAAATCTATGCATGCGCTGGTTGATCGTTCCAAACGTTCTGTTGAGTCAAATGGAACCTATTTTGAATAAGTAATAACTTTCAAAGATATTATATTGTGTATTTTATTTTATATCCAAAAAGATCGGTTATTTTTGGGACACACCGTATATGTATGTGCTTGGGACAGTATTTCCCACTTAATTGTACAAATTTGGGTTCAATTTATTCAAAGAAAAAATATTCGTTCGATCGAACGTCCAATTAAACTAAATGAAAGCATACATTATTATTATTATTAAGTTGTTTATTTAAATTTTATATAAATAATATATACCTTAAATAGGAAATAATAATTTCATATTTATTGCTATAAATATGTACAATACATATGAGAGGCGACTGATAATGTCGTCACCTACGGTACTTAGTGTTTTTTATTTTTCAATACAGTTTATCTCAAGCGAAATACACTTTTCACAGCGCGAATGGAAAGTCTTTATACTATTGAAAAAATATTCTTTATATTTCTCTTCAAAATGAACTTTCATCTCACTTTTGTCTGAAAATCTTTGTCCTCGTGACTCCTTTTTAAAATTTGAAAAAGGAAAAAAGCCACTTGGAGTCAAGACTGTAGGGTGGATGGACAATTTTTGTAAGTTCAGTAGCTTTTAAGGAATCCCTAGCAACCCGAGCGTTGTGAACGGGTGCGTTGTCTTGCAGAAACAGCACTCTGTGAGCAAACCTGCCACTTCTGACTCAACAAATTAGCGTAATACTGGCCGTTCATTTTACTTCCCTATGGAAAGTAATCAATTGTGGCCAAAATATTCGACGACGACTTTCCCACTTTTAATTTTTTTGGTGTCCTTTCCCCTTTCTATCCATTGCATCGACTCCTGTTTGTACTCGGAATCATGCTGAAGTATTCGGGTTTCATCAACTTTGGTTGCAAATATTATCAAACCATCAAATCATCTTGGTACAACTCTAAAAAAATCTTTACCACTCTCCTATCGACGCTGGTTGTCGAGCGGCGTGAGCATTTGCGGTACCCAACGGGCACTAATTTTTTCATATTTAAATGTTTATGCAAAATCCCTCCAGCTCGTTCTTTTCTATCCTATAATCCTCCGCTATCTGTCACAATTTAATTCTTCGACCAGCCAGTATTAATTTTTCGACATTCTAAAAATTTTCTTCGGTCACGACCTTTACAAGACGCCCCGGGCGGGAGTCATTTTCACTGGTCTCTCTTTTTTGTTGAAACAGTCGAGGATATTTTTTAACTAATATATTTGAAGGGGAAGAGTTCTGAAAACCCGATGATATCTCTTTAAACATTTCTTTCAGCGTATTTACTTTTTTACAAGGAAATTTAATCACAGCGTTCCAGGAACGGAATGTTAATAAACTTAATAAAAAAAATTGACTTATTTATTCTAATAATGAGTCTCGCACATAGTTTTATCAGTAACGAGATGAGTGCCATTTCTAACTACCTTATGTCGCGACACTATCAGCCGTCCCTCGTATAGTATGTGCCAACGATGGGCTAATACTATACATATATATGTAGGTCAGTTAGTTTACTGTAATTAAAATTCAATACGTATCACAAATTCTTTAAATTGAAATACGTGAGTTGATTTTGTATTACTTATAAAGTCTATTTTCACTTCGATATTTATAAGTTAGATATAAGCGTTTCTTTAAAGGTTTCTTCAAATGCTATGTTTAAATTTGCTTCAGTATTAAAAACACTACTCTGAAGTGCATTTGTGTTTTTTATCGCAAGTTGTTTAACAATGATGCATACGAGTTTAACATATTTTTTTACGGTGACGTGCATTACTTTCGTTTTCACAGTAGAATGTCTCCCGGAATATTCTCAAGATACATATTTAAATGCCCTACAGAGCTCTCATAAGCCTAGTTATGGTGCGTATATCAACTAACGAAAACGAATAGAATGTTATAGATTTAAAAACAAAAAACTAAAAATATCGAAAAATTTACATATTTTTTTCTACGTGAGGATTGAATTAAAACTATTACAATTATTAGCAAAAAATTACTTGCTATAATCATATTCACCGCCCCAAATTAAAAGTGTAAAAAATATTTAAGCCAACATTTTAAAATTCTTTATTTTCACAAGAACGTTAAAAGCTAAGTTAAATACACAGTTAGTACATACCTTTTCGTTTGCTCGGTAAATATTTAAATTAATGTAACTCTAGCGTTTAAATATTGTTGATTGATTCAAAATGGCAACACCTTAACATTAACGACAGCATTTCGTGTAGTTTAAAAGCGAAATGTAATTTATTTTGATAACTGCTTTAACAATAATATTTCAGAGATTTTCGCATGGAACCAATGTAAATTTTTTGATTAACGCAGTCATTACTACATCAAATATGCAGTTTACGTCATTATTACGAAATGACACGATGTGAATTGGTGAATAAATCTACAAACGAATCGGAACAAGGAATGGTGTTCCAACGATTTTTTTTTACTCTGCATGTTTGCTCAGAATTATTTGATATAGCTAGGTATTTGCTCCGTCAAATTATTGTGTTCGTCTTTAATATTTTTTATTGATTTTATAATATACTATATTTATGTTATGTTTTCGCATCATAACATATTAGACGTTTTGAGTTAGAACAATTTCATAATTTGTATGAAATATTTATTGACATAAATAATAAATATTTAATAACATAATAAGCTTTCTGCTTGGTCATTAATTACTTTAAGAGGCACAAACAGATGAAAAGCATAAACTCAAGATTAAGCAAACCTTTTCAGGCATCTATTTTCATAACTTCCGAATTATGCTTCGATGTGTTGTTGTAATTTATTAGACATACATATGTACATATGTAGCTTGAATTAACAGCTTTCTCTACTGGCATCATTGTCATTTTTCCTTTATAATACTATATATTGACCATTTATTTATATACCTCGTCTATTCTGAGGCAACTTCAGTATCTACCACGTCAGTCACTAAACATTTTATTTCAGCCGGTGCGGGCTGTAATGAGGAGCTGAAATATTGGAGCAGAAACGAGTTTTTTGCAATATAATTTTCATAGGAAATATTTCTACTTGTAAGATATTGCAAGGGTTTATGAGCTTGAATGACCTTTTACTGTCCTGGGTGTAGTAAACCAGAACGCCCTATACTATTTTTTCTTAAGAACTACTAAATATAGAATGTATGCAATAGGAGTCCAGCAGTGGTCAGATGATGTTGTGTTGTATGTTTAGTGATACTGAACTTCTCCAAATATGTTCTAATTCCGTAGCCTTCCAAGTTAAAGATCTCATAAGCAAAACACAATCCTTTTAAATTCATTCGCAATCTCTTATTGGGCCTATTCGACAACTTGCTGTTCAACCCTAATCTCACATAAAAGAGACGAATATTGAAAGGACCCTCTCCAGTTTCTCCAGATATGTTCTATTTCCGCAAACTTCAAAGTTAAAGATCTGATCAGTAACATACAATACTTTTACATTCTTCACTTCGAGCCTACTCGACAACTTGCTGATTAGGATTGATCCCATGCACAACAGTCAGCCTGCTCTAACTTTGACTTAGCATTGTTAACTGAATCCCACTTTATTATCAAAGTTTAACCTTTTGGGGAATAGTCCGTCGAGAACATATTTCTTGAAGCATTTCCAGTGATTGTTTTCTGGTATCAAGCCAGCAGCCTTATAAATTCAACTAACTCATCAATGTCTTCAGCTCAATGAACTAAAAGAGAAAGTTAAGATTATGGCATCTTCCCTCGTCCTATAACTACCACCACCACATTTTCAGTGCTTAAATTTGACTAAAAATATGTTAATTTTTTCCTTGGCATTATTACTACACTAATCTCTTTCAACTGAAGCTTTCTGTCTTGGAGAAGGACGCTCGAAACCATCTTATTGTCCACCAAATTTATTCAGGACTAGTGTCGCGTCGATATCGAAAGGAATTAATACATCGATGAGTATATAACACTTCTCGTATGTTAATTGCGTAAAACAGTCTCTGGTGATAACACAGCTGTTCCATTTATTGAAAATCGTGGGCGTTGAGCAAATTCTTTACAATAAAGAAACTGTACAATAATTTTGGTGACTTTTCTTTAACAATTCAGGGATAGAACCCGAGGGATTCGAAAAATTATCGCGTTGCTAAAATTCGAATAACTCCTGACTATCTCTGATACGTCCATCTTAGGCAGGTGAACCAAACGATAACTCAGCTAGTATAATGAGCAAATATTTATTTAGATTAAAGAAGATTTGTTGATGAAACATCAAGACGTAAAATCACAAAGTGGAGGAGGAGCTTGGCCGAAAATCGCTCCACCGGATACAAATCGCCAAATGCATACAAAAAGAAGAAATTACATATTTCGAACTAGATGTTTTAATTTTTCTTTGCAACATCTGTCATTTGCTTTTCCTTTACCAAAATTTGCTAGGGGCGTATGTATGTTAAATTTCTTTCTTAATGTAAACATAAAGAAGTTTTATGATAAATTTCATAAAATTTAATTAATAACCTGTTTAAGGATTCAGTCATACTAACGTAATAATATATAAATTAAATGTTGTACAATATTTTCCAGATGATAGTCTTGGATATAATTATATACCACCTTCAAGTAATAATCTGCAACCACAAAATTCTTTATATGGGCCTCCAAATCAGGCGTATGGACCACCGACGTTACACATACCCTTGCCTACATATCACCCCAGATACCATTGGTTTCTAGAGAAACTAAAGAAGAAAATAAATCTCTTTACAATTGGAAAGATTATACTAAAATTATTGATATTCAAAAAAATTATAAAATTTATTGGTGTTATATGTTTACTTCTATTTCTTCCAAAATTAAAAGATCTTCTAAAGGAAGATATGTCAATGGAAGAAAGCAGTGCGGAAAGTAAAACCACCTGGTCAGAAAAGGGTAACTTCTTCTTCTTTTAAATATTTATAGAAAATATTTTAAATAAGTAAAAATAACATTTTCCTTTTTCAGAGGCGTTGAAAAAGCATATCGAGGAGTTGCTACATATTATCCCAAGCTCAATAGCATCTTTAAAATAGATAAATAAAATAGTATTATTATGTTATTTATTTTATATTATATTACTATTTATTTCATATCTTTTTGCACTAAAACATGTAAAAGACTTTATATCATGATTTAAATAATTAAACAACTATGTTGCGTTTATAAATGTAAAATTAATGCAGGTAAACCATTTTAACTTAATTCACTATCGCGCAAAAGATATATGCTAAAAGTTGTATTTTTGATGGTCTTTTTGATCATTATGACTGGTCGACTTCGGGTGACATGGTTATTTGGAATAGCCTAAATAAAGTTACAACCAAGATCTTTCTCCCGTCTTCTGTATAGTTCAAAACCGTGGACGATGTACATATCAGATGAGTCTTCGGGACAAAGATTTTACGAAAAATGTATGAGCCTTCGCGCTTTGACAGCCGCAAATACCGCAGACGATGGAAAGTTAGATATACACTATATATGACGTGATTGGACGAAAATACATTTATCCAAGGAAATATATACAGGAATATATATATAGAATAAAGGCAACCGTATTAAAAAATTAATGAAACACCTCGATTAAATACACGTAAAAAGTGGAAACAATACCAATAATCTCAGTAACCATCAAACAAAAACTGAGCGTATATTCATACAGACTGCGCAAGTGCTTGGAATAACACATAAGAAAACGAAAAACCATTCCATAAAATACTGCCACAAAGTTATAAGGCAATCTCAGTGTAAGACTCAATTTTTGGTACAAAAGATTCACATTAACACACAAAATATAACTATCATTATTTAACGATGTAATCCAAAAGTTAGCAACCTTACCTACTTTTCATATACAATGAATACCATAGTCTGGTTTATTGCTAAGTACCACAATAAGTATTCTAATGGTTTTCAATCACTACTTCTTGGAGGCCATTCAATGTCACAATTTCTTGAATTAATCGAATCTCCAAACCTGTACTGTGTGACACGTAGTCTTGTTGGAACCAGCTGTTGTTAAGATCAAATTCTTTAAATAGTAACCATAAAAAGTTGGTCATCGATCTATACCGCACTCCAATGACAGTAACGGTGCTACAAGCTTAATTTCAAAAGAAGTACGGACTAATGATTCCACAAAGCCTAACACCACACCAAACTGCCAATTTAAGTGAATTTAATGGTTGATCATGAATAATTTGTATATTTACACGAGAAACGACAGTTTGGTTTTTGGTTTATTTATCGCACCACTCAGATGAAAGTGAGCCTCATCGATGAAGATTATTTTCTTAAAAAAATCGTTATAGTTTTCAAGTTGTTGTTGTTGTTTGTAAATGTTGTTGTTGCGTATATCTTCCAATGATGAAATTTTAAACGCTACTGAATACAATGAAAATAAAGATAAATTATGGCTAAGACTATATTTGAGAAGTCATATCACTATTGGAAATCCCTTTACCAACTCAGAACACAATTTTCTGCTCTGGCTTTTTTAGTAGATTAACTTGGAGCAAGCAATCATATTTTTGACAGACGCGATTAGGAAACGAAAGAGAGCAGAATCTGGCAAATCAAATTTAATAATGAATGAAATTAGTTAGAATTTAGATTCAACATGAAAACCCCAATACAGAACCTACACAAAATAAATCACCTACTATACATTTACGTCATTAAACTGCACATTACACTCATCGAGAAAGCCGCGACAGTTATATATAATAGTAAGAATGATTGGTATAGATAAATACAGGACTCAGCACACATAACTTGGCAAACGGTTCAATAGAAGCATCAATAAAGCACTTAATAATGAAAACTCCAAAATATGGACGAATCTGAGCTGTACAAAGCTGCTTTCATCCATTCGGACAACATGACCTAGCCAGCGTAAACGCTGTCTCTACATTCGCTGGACTATGTCAATATCATCGTAAAGCTCGTACAGCTCATCGATCCATCGTCTGCGGCATTCGCCTTTGCTAATGCGCAAAGCACCATTAAGCGATCGCAAAACCTTTCTCACGAAGGCTCCTAGAGATGACTCATCAGATATTAATTTCGTCCACGCTTCTGCGCCATATAGTAGGACGGGTATGATGAGGAACTTGTAGAGTTTGGTTTTCGTTCGCTGAGAGACGGCTTTTTTCAATTGCCTGCTCAGTCCAAAGTAGCACCTGTTGGCAAGAGTGACTCTGCGTTGGATTTTCAGGCTGACATTGTTGTTGCTGTTAATACTGGTTTCAAGACGGATGAAATTATATATGACCTCGAAGTTATGACTGTCAACAGTGACGTGGGAGTATATTCGCTATTGCGATGATGGTCTGTTTGATGACAGGAGATTTTTCGTCTTGTCCTCATTCACTACTAGACCCATTTGGTTCGCTTCTTTATCGAGTCTGGAGAAAGCAATAATGTCGATATCATCGGCGTACGCCAGCATATGTACACTATTATAAAAGATTGTACCTTCCTTATTCAGGTCTGCATCTCAAATTATTTTTTCCAGCATCAAATTAAAGAAATCACAAGATAAGAAATCACCCTGTCTGAACCCTCGTTTGGTATCGAACGGCTCGGAGAGGTCCTTCTCGATTCTGACGGAGCTTTCAGTGTTGCTTAAGGTCAGTTTACATAAACGCATAAGTATTGCGGGAATATCAAATTCAGACATAGCGGCGTAGAGGCAGCTCCTTCTCGTGCTGTCGAGGGCTGCTTTAAAATCAAAGAAGAGGTAGCGCGTGTCAATTCTTCTTCATGGGTATTTTCCAAGATTTGGCGCATGGTAAATATCTGGTCAATGGTTGACTTACCAGGTCTAAAGCCACAATCGTCGGGCATGCTTTCATCCGACCATATTTTTGAAGAAAAGCTGATCCATACACCTGATCAGCTCTTCACCGCCATATTTGAATAGCTCGGCAAATGCACGCACCTGATCATGGTTCTCCGCCGCTTTGTTGTTCTTTAGGTGGGCGATTGCTATTCGGACTTCTTCATAGTCGTTTAACGGAACACCTTTTCCATCGTTTTCAATTGGAATTTCGGATCCACCATCTCCGGGTGTTTCATTTTGACTGCCATTCAGCAGGCTGGTGAAGTTTTCCCTCCATAAATTCAGTATACTCTGGGCATCCGTCACTAGATCACCTCCATGGGCCCTACAAGAGTTTGCTCCGGTCTTGAAACCTTACGTAAGTCGCTGTATATTTTCGTAGAATTTTCGAGCATTACCCTTGTCGGCCAGCTTCTCAAGCTCTTCATACGCACACATCTCGTCCTCTTTTTTTCCCTAAAATGCGTCTTGTTTCCCTCTTCAGCTCTCGGTATCGCTCCCAACGTCGAACCTTCGTGATGTTTTTTGACGGCTGTTCTTCAATACACAGGAGCGGGTGCATAGGAGTCGATATTAGGATCCCGGAATGTACGCATGTCTAAAAAATTAGATACTTGTCTTCCGTCAATCACAACATGATCGATTTGGTTGAGAGTTTTTCGATCTAGAAGCGCTTGGTGAAGTTTTTTGTGCTGGAATCTAGTGCTACAGACAACCATATTTCGAGCTCCGGCGAAGTCGATCAGCCTCAATCCATTTGGGGATGCTTCGTTGTGGAGGCTGAATTTTCAGACCGTTGTGCCAAAGATACCTTCTTTGCCCGCCCTGGCGTTGAAGTCGCCAAGCACAATTTTGACATTGTAGTGGGGATAGTGCTACTAAGTGTACTCGAGGCGCTCGTAAAAGGCATCTTTGGTCACGTCGTCCTTCTCTTCCGTCGGGGCGTGGGCGCAAATCAGCGCGGTTTTAAAAAATTTCGTTTTGATTCGTCTTGTGGCGATACGTTTATCAACCGGGGTGAAAGCCAGTACTCGGCGACGTAGTCTTTCTCCCACCACGAATCCGACACCAAATTTACGCTCCTTTATATAGCAGCTTTAGTAAATTTCACAAGGAGCCATCTTCTTCGGTCCTTGTCCCGTTCATCGCATCTCTTGGACGGCGGTGATATCATCCTTTAACTTTATGAGGACATCAACCTGCCAGGCAGCTGCACCTTCCCAATTAAGGGACCGGACATTCCAGGTGCATGCCCTCAAATCGTAATACTTAAAACATTTGCGATGGTCGTCATCAAAAGGGGGCTTCTCATCCGAGGCTTATGTCGATTTTTCATTGGGTTAAGGTTTTTATGTGGTGGGTCCCAAACCCTACGCACAACCGCATGGGACTCGTCTTCCCACTTCAGCTCGCCTTCAAACGGATGTTTGTTGGCTACCCAGGGGATACTTGGTCTAAGACCGGAAGTCGTAAGCTGCTTGAGCCATATGCAAAAAAATCGTTTCTGGCCACTCCCACGCGAATGGCAGTCAAAAACTTTTCCCACTTGCGTGAACTTCTACACATGGCCCCATCCCATTTTTAACTAAACGATATGTGCGAGTATGTAATAGAGTGTAATTGTTCAATATTTTAAAATATATCAGAATATCTAAAATCAAGCAAGTAGATACTAGATTTTTTACAAAATAACAAAAAGTGATTTGTCAAAGTGAACACTTAAGACAAAACATAAAAAAAAATAATAATTAGAAAAACATATTAAAAGAATATAATTTTACTAAAATCTTGCTTGAGACTTAAAGAAAGTAGCTGTAATTTTATAACAAAAAAAAAATAACATCATTACAATGAGTGCTAAAGAAATATAAATCCAGCTAATTCTTTTACCTCTTTTTCATTGACGTTTCGTGTGATTATAGCGAAATCAAAAAGTGTTACTATGTTAATGTCGCCATAAATCGTTCGCAAAAATCTTCTCCCAGCGCCATTTCAGCAGCAGATGTCCACGTCGTCCAGGCCTTTGCACCATCAGTGACTTGAAAGTGAATCGTAATTATGACTGTCAACAGTGCCCCAAATGCAGGAGAGGCGGAACCAACGACGGGATTGTTAAGGACTATAATTTCAATTTTATTGGCATACGCTAGCAGTTGTACACAATTGTACAATATTGCGCCTTGTCTATTTAGCTCTCCAGATTGAAGAAATCGCTGAAATCTGGGTTGCTCCCGAAAATGCTGAAAAGTTCTTCCCAATTCTGACTGCCCTTCTGGTGTTTTCCAGCGTCAGTTAACACAGCCGATACGTTTTGCAGGAATATCAAATATAGACACAG